AAACCCTGCCAAAGGGGTTAGTGTGTCCATTACACACTGCCAATCTGTACCAAAAAATGCTTGGCATTCTCGAGGCACTGATAAACGCACTGATTTGATCCTATGTGCTTTTGAGCGCCGTGGGGTAAAGCTATCGTCAGCAAGTACTCACGTTAAACACACTGTATGTTATAAGAACGTATAAAATATCAGATTCAATTTACGTATGCAAATTTTCTTATACCAGAAGCTTGGAGTCGTATCTACACACGAGCAGATATCACATTGAATACTTTCAAAGTTGCATTTGGCTGATATTTCTAAACAATTTTCTCATTATTATATTAGCTGAACATAAAAATTTTGTATAGCGTTTATCGGTCGTTTCCATTATCCACGGCTAAGCAACCTAAACCGGAATTATAATCTCTTCGAAGTATTTGCTCGCTATGGTCTTTCAACGTCTCTATAAGGCATGTTAGTTTCGCATATCAAACAATTAATGGATGATATCATAAAAATTCAGAAAAAGAGCATATGGATACCTTTATAGAGCAGTATATTGCTTAGTCAGCCTTAAACACACTTGCATCACTGCCTTAGGCAATAACACATGCCAAATTTCGTGAAAATATCTCTTCAAAAAATTTTTTTTTTATACAAGCACTTGATTCCGATCGTTCTATTCATATGGTAGCTATATGCTATAGTGGCCCGATATCGGTTCCGACAAATGAGCAGCTTCTCGCCGAGAAGAGAACGTGTGCAAAATTTCAGGTCGATATCTCAAAAACTATATACAGAAGGACATCAATCAACCACTCCCCGTATTCACCTGATATGGCACCGTGCGACTTCTCCCTTTTCGGAAAACTGCACTTTCAGAAGGAGACTATTTTGAATAAAATTAATTGATTTTGCCGATAAAACCATTTGTTCTGTCTTTTTTTTTAAAGTCCTGTTTACTTTGGAACGCACCTTGTATATACTTTACAGGGCTTCCGTTTGGATGTTACAAACATCATGACAAACTTAATATACTCTGTCCTGGGTATGAATGTCGATCAACGTAGATAAACATTACCACCTTACCTATATAGCCAAAGGCGACATTTAAGAAAAAAAGAAGGAAAAAATAATATCTTTATTTTTCTTCAAAATTAGCGGAACGTAAAACTTGCAAAGTTTTTTGGTAATCTCGATTTAATGTACCGTGGTCGCTCGATTTAAAAAGGGCAGTTTTGAGAAAACGCGTTAAAAGATTTACACATGTGCTGTAGCTGACTAACCCGAACGTTTCGATAGGAAACATTTTTGTAACAATTCTATCAATTGAATATTTTACGACCCTAAAGCGTACTTTAAGCCACTTAATTGTTTCGATATTTTGAAAATTCGTAGACTGGCCTAAGACTTTAAATCTTGAAGATGGAATTGGTTTAAATTTTGAGTAAGAAATATTTGCCACACGTGTTTTCAATACTTTTTAGGTTTTACCCTATTTGCACAGTACTTGCATATATCTTAGCAGTGTATGTTTACTATTCATACTCTATTATTAGCTTTTTTCTGTGTTCATTTTCCATTTTTCGAAGATTAACCCTGAATATGCGTGAAGAATATACTAAATAATCTTAAAATGCATTAAAAAGGTTCTACGGCACTAAGACGGCAAAAGAAGCGATAAAATATAATAAAAGATTTCAAAGCGTCTGAAAATTTCGCTATTCACTAAAAAGCCACTAAATTGCCAAAAAATCGCGACCTTGACTTTAGCAATCAACATTTTTGTGGCACTTCAACAGCCACAATTGATCACTTGAAACTGAAAGAACGCCAAGCAAATGCGAATTTAATAACGAAAAAAAGTGAAAATAAAAAATGAAGAAAATATTGGAGACAAAACGAATTTTAGCAGCACACTCAGCGAAAAGTGACAAATAAAACAAAACGTAGTTATCGTTGGCCAACGACTTGGCTGGCATGTGTCATGAGCGGCCGTAATACCAAAGTCCTTGCTGGCGCTTTAAATGTGTGGGCTGTAATCTTTTGTGTTTGAATGCAAAAGTCTGCAGCAAATTTTATAAGAGAAGCTCCCAGTGTACGAGAACTCGAAAGTCCACTTAAACGCTTCATCATCCCACTTCCCGCCCTACGCCTGTCTGACCCAATTGTGTCCTTTTTTATCGATAATTGAAATATGCACTCATTTTAATGGCTTTGAAACGGTATACTCCATTATTATTGTTGTTGTTGCTAATGTAAACTCATATAAGCATTTGATTGCGCACTTTCTGTTTCGATTACATAAATATCTTTCTTGAGGCTTGTGCCAAATGTAGTTGAACTTTACCCCGCTCCCCCCAATTCTCAAACTCTTCACTATGGCAAATAGTCTTCAATTGAGACAAACAAACAACATTTCTGCATTTAGTTCGTTTCTGTAATATCTTTTCGATTTCTGTGTTTTTCTTTTATTCATGCCAGAAATTTTATGTAGTCGATCAGTGCAAATTTGGCAATTTTTCGAATGGAAAACCGTTTCCTTTGGAATTTTCTTCCATTTGAATGTTTACACTAATGTAAATGCATTTGTACAGTTATGCGCAAGAAAATATTTTTTTCTTACTGTGCATATTTTGCTATTTTCCCAAAAACCTGAGAGACTAGTTCGCGTATATACAGACAGACGTACATGGCTAAATGGACTCAGCTCGTCGTGCTAATCACATATATATATATATTTTATAGGACGACGTTTTCTTCTAGGTGTTACAACCTTCGTGGCAAACTTAATATACATAAACCCTGTTCAGGGTATAAAAACAATAAAAGTTATAGAAATATTGTAGAGTGCTGATCGTGTTTTTACAGTTACAGGGCCAACGACATTCTTCTATTGTGTCAATATTTAACTCTGGACTCTTGCAAAATATCAACGAATAATTACATCTATTGAAGTAGTAGTACTTATTTTTAAAGGATAACGTCATCTTTAGCTCCCAGCTATTAAGAAAACTGACTTTCCGATGGATTATAGGATACCTTTAAACTTTTGGATACCTACTTTGTCTCACGATTTGTTTTTTGCTTCGATTCCTCAATCTTAGCGTTTACCTTTTCGATGTCGCTAAATCGCAGATCTTCAGTGAGCATTTTCTTGAGGTTTGAGAACAAGAAAAAGTCGCTGGGAGTCAGATCTGGAGTATAGGGTTTACTTGAAAATTCTTATGAATATTATTTTAGAGAACTTTACTTTATCTGATTTGCTTTCCATATTTAGAGGTTTATTTATTTTCCATTCTTCTCAGAAAAATTTAATAGCTAATTTATGGTTTTAGTATCACTATTTGATATATTAGATATGTTAAATCGATAGTTTTGTGAAAATTGTAATCTGAGTATAAGCGGGGGTTCGGTTTCCGGATAGTTTTTGTGGCCAGTTTAATGAGAACTAATGCCAGTGTTTGTCGTGATGGAAAATCGGTGTATTTACTATGTTACAGTTAGATTCTATTCACCTCTATATGCAATGTGTGAGTTCGAAAACGTTTTCGAATTCTCTGATAACATCTTTGCCATTATAAAATACCAAGCTTGGTTTCAGATGTGTGTTCAGTACCGAGTTTAACCTAGATTGTGTGACTCTCCTTAAATTATGTTTATGAAGGTGATGTTGCCACCTAGGTCTTGGGTCGCATTAAATTTTTGTAATAATTTCTATAAGCTTCGTTGCTACTACTCTCCAATTTTATGTACACGTGTGTACCGTTATGTATTTGTGTTGTGTACTTCTCGTTCTGTTTAGAGAAAGTTATTGGAGCAAATTTAATTCAATGAAATATTTATACTTGACCAGCGGCATTAGTTTATCTCATTGCCATGGCTTGTTGGCCATTTACGTTCACTATCTACGTGCTGGCTATCGCAGAGCGCTGCCGCAAAAATCCCAGCAAAATCCTTGGGCATTTGTACTGATTCCACTTTATGTATGTATGTGTATGTTGGTGATACTTTACCCAACTTTATTGTCTTAACTTTAGGCCGATGGTGGCGCGCTTTGCGGTTGTTGCACAACTTACATTTGTGTTGGTGTCGCAGATTTAGAATTTTGCTAATGAAATTAGCGCATTGCTGTTTTCCTTGCCACAACAACAACTAAGTGAACGTAATAAATTGCAATAAATAGTAAAAAAACAACAACATATAAGTACATAGACAACAAGCAGTCATGTGAAAGTAGTGTCATTGCGCTTCGTGCACGAAGCTTTCTTACATACATACTTGTCTGAAAATACTTTGTCTGAAAATTAAAGGCATTGCAAAGCCATAGTTTGCTCCAAGGTATAAGCGTCTAATTTTGTGGGAAATTTACTCAATTAGGTTTTCACACTCCAGGCTCATTGAAAAACATACATACATATATAAATGTCCTTACAAATGTGAAAGAGGCATTTATGAAATATTTAAGAGAGAGTAAAGCCGAATTTCAGTAACTCTCCTTCATTAGGGGAATTTGCGCGGTAACTGGCCATATTATTAATAATTACTGTTATACAAAGATTTTGTTTATTATCACTTTATATAGTACTATAGTCACAGGACTCGTTCTTGGGAGGAAATAATCGACACGATTGGCATATTCCATTGACCTATAATAAAAAAGACATAACATGTCAGTCACTGTTAAGTTTTAAAAATATAAGAAACGAATAAAATGGAAAGAAACTGTCAATTTAAATTATGACCACCAACGGATGTGTTGGTGTTAAGTTGTTCTGACAATAAAAAAATAATTGTGACTGATTTAAGTATGACTGTCATTTGATACCATGAAACCAGAATACAGTAAAGACTGCACCGGTGCGTAAAATCTTTAGTAGAAATAGGAGAAACTTCCGAGGATCTACCAGTATTTGCATTTTTTATGATTACATCTATATACTCTAATAGTAATTAATCATTCATGCCTTACCTAATTTCAACTTAACTAAACCCTTTCGCTTCCATACCCTTTGCAGGAGTTGCACGTGTGCTGGGCAATCGCTTGAAATTGGGCGAGAAAATCGTCGTTTCTAACGGCGATAAGGCCAGTGGCAGTTCCATAAAATACGATGTCGAAGTTCGTGATGCGGATGTGGTAAGTAGCACTAGTCGAAGTTGAAAGAAATCTACTAGTCTGGAAATTATCAGAAAAAAATACAAAAATATGAAAAAACAAGTAAGGAAGGGCTAAGTTCGGATGTAACCGAACATTTTATACTCTCGCAAAGTCAAATGGTATACTCGTTTGAGATTTCTTTGTGGATTGACTGATATTTTCGGTAGAAGGTCAACTATAGGCACTGGGGTCCACATATTTAGTACTTAGGGGTTTGAACAGGTTTGGTTCGATTTAGACAATTTTTGGCCGCAAGGTGGCATACTTTAATTGCATTATTCACGCAAAGTTTTACCCCGATATAATTATTGTTACCTGATTTGCATAGTGGAAAGTGAAAGAATCAGATGGAATTGAAAATGGTGTTACATGGAAAGTAAGCGTGGTTGTAGTCTGATTTCGCCCATTTTCGCACTATGACTTAGAAACATGAAAAGAACGTTATGCACCGAATTTGGTTGAAATCGGTTGAGCAGATCTCAAGATATGGGTTTTCACCTAAAAGTGGGCTGTGCCACGCCCACTGACTAATTTTGAACGCGGTTCCTATAAAACCAATTTATACCATCTCAGAGATAAAATTTAATGTCTCTGGCGTGTTTAGTACTTGATTTATCGCGCTTTTAGTAGTTTTTAACAGTACCGTTATATGGGGAGTGGGCGGAGTTGCCACCCGATTTCAACTATTTTCACACCGTCAGTAGAAGTGCTAAAAACATTTGCTTCTAGTGAATTTTGTTATTATAGCATTAGCGGTTTAGGAGATATGCACATTAAACCTATTAGAGGCGGGACCACGCCCACTTTTTAAAAAAAAGTTTTAAGTGCAGATGCCCCTCCCTAATGTGATCCTGTGTACCAAATAACAGTCTTGTATCTTATTGCGGAGCTTAGTTATGGCAAGTTATTTGTTTTTGATTAATGTAGTTTTGTGGGCGTGGCAGTGGTCCGATTACGCCCATCTGCAATACCAACCGTCTCACGGTACCAAAACATGTCTACCAAGTTTCATAAAGATATCTCAATTTTTACTCAAGTTAGAGCTTGCACGGACGGACAGACGGACGGACAGACGGACGGACGGACAGACAGACAGTCACCCGGATTTCAACTCGTCTCTTCATCCTGATCATTTATATATATATAACCCTATATCTAACTCGATTAGTTTTAGGTGATACAAACAACCGTTAGGTGAACAAAACTATTATACTCTGTAGCAACAGGTTGCGAGAGTATAAAAATATAAAAAAAATAGAGAATTTACTCTTTTTCAAATTTTCATTTGATTGCGGTTTTATGGTGTCACTCCTGCTGTCTGCACCCGCTGGCGCGCGCCACTCAAGATATGTTTGGTTAAAGTGTTTGCTAATACGGAATTTTGTATTTATATGTGCCTTCATATGCATATGTTTGGTTATGCGCCACTTGTAAAGCTGTTCGCTAACTTTTTCGTTTGTTTGCGTTTACTTCACAGATTCAATTATTGAAATCATTCGATATATTTAGCGGTTCAACGTATCGAGGACATTTGGTTGTGCGCAATCATTTGCAAGTGGATAAGTTTACCAACTTGGTGAGTATAAATCCACATAGGTATATCACATGTACAGCTGTGGTCAATAAAATAGAAATGTTTAAGTATGTGTAATATAATTTATAAATAGTGATTCGGGTAAAATCTTATCTTTGACAATTTACAATTTTACAATTTCTGCGGGTAAGGAAATCAGAATTCTTTCTTTGATGTTTAATTAGCTAATTATTTGAGTGACATTTTGATGCGAAATGGCGGCTAATGGTAATTCTTGGATCTCATGTTGTCTGAAACAAAATTAGATCTAAGTCTACATAAGGCTTGCTAGTAAAGTACGAACGTTTGGAGCTTTATATAATTTTGTCGATTTGCTAAAAAAAAGTTAAAATACAAACAAAGGTACCAAATAGTGGTTTCGAGTTAATGAAAGTTATGTCGATGATTACTTAATCCCTCGACCTCTGACTCATAGAGAATTTATGATTATATATAAGTTATAGTAAAAATAAATTCATTTTGAAGTTATTTTCATAATAGCACTCTCAGAGAAACCCTCGTCTCTATTGGAAATAAACTGAGAGCCTCAATTTCCACAAGTTTCTCTTTTCACCCGTAAAATTCTTCCATTACCATGTTTGGACCATAAAGTTGATGCATATGAAGTTCCCGACCAAGCTCCCGGAGCTTCTGGCGAGCCACTATCCATGTGTGTGGCCTGGCATTGTCCGGATGGAACACAATTCTTTTAGCTCCTACTAGAGGAGTAAACACATAGCAAAACATTCATGACGGTCGGACTTGACGATTTCCAGTACTTTATCCCCTCGCGTCGGTTGGGCGGGAGGAGGGTAATCGTTGGTTTTTATTATTATTATCGATATTTTCGAAAATTGGTCTTCCACAGCGTTTTTCATCTGTGATATCCAAATTACCTGAACGAAATAAAAATTTGCTGGTTGCCTGGATTGGCTGGATTCGCTATAGTATCAGAACCTTAAACGCTATTCACGTTTTACGCCGCCTGGCACGCATTTTCGTCATTATCGAAGAAAAACTGTAAAATACGGCCTATTTCACCTTTGCTGGTTTCAAATAATACTGGGTCAGGTAACCGCAAAACTGTTTTTAAGTACGAAGTCATATCCTTCTGACGCCAAATAACGTAATATACAACATACAGATTAACAAAGCCATCTATTGGAAAAATAGGAGATTTATTTTTTACTAGACCTATTATAACCCCAATTTTGTTTTAATTATCAAAAATTCAATTCCGTATCCTTTTTTTACTGTCTTTCAAATTACTATGTATACTGTTTTGATAATAAAGGGAACTATAATGACATAAGGGATGAACAAAAAATATAAGTCGAAGTTGAAAGAATTAGGTAGTGAAAATATCATATTTTGTTTTTTGTGTAGGCTCACTCTTATTATTTCAACCGCAAGTGTATGTACATAACCCATATATATCGCTCTATATACTAACGTTACATATAGGTTTATGTGTGTTTGCATACGTGTTTGTGTAAGTTGCCAGCCACTTGAGGCATTGACTCGAAATAAGCGCATTTATGGTACTTTTTGCAAAGCAATGAAAGTAACTGTAACTGCTATATTTCTTTGTAGTTTAAATTAGCATTTGCTTATTCTATACACACATACAAATATGCATTTTGATTTCTGTATATTTCTTCCAAAAAATTACTTTCATTTTATATTTTCCGTTTTTCTTTTGCTTGGCTGCCGCCTCGTTAGCTCGCCAGAAATATTTCGAAATGTTCGAGTGCCCTTGAACGCATGTCTACGGTTAAACTCTTTTCGTGCCGCTTCGCATCCAAACAGTCCTTGGGCCGAAAGCTACTCGAGCATTATGTGGTAACGCCCATATTCGAGGCCACCACCGGACGCTATGCGTGTCAGATTGAATTGTCGTCGAATTTCAATGAAGTACTCAGCATTGTGAAGACTAATGATGTCCACTTCGATTTGGAGGTACGCTGCTTCTATTTTATTTTATTTTTGTTGTGTATTTATTGTTATGTTTGTTGTTCGCTCACTTTGTAGGCCCAGCTGCCGAACGGTTTATCGGATGTTATGTCGTTGAAATTTGTACCCGGTGTGCGTGTTACACCGGAAGCACTGGAGGCCACTGAGTTGCAAGAACAAGATTTAACAATCACTGGACTGGATAAAGTGCTACAGAAGGTGGAGGTGAGTCGACGCGCACACACATTTATACTTACATGCACAATAATATACACTTTTCTAAAATATTTGATGTCGGTTTAATGAGTTGAGCGCAAAATACTAACACATTTATGCTCAAATTGAAGAATTTTGCCAAATTTGTATTATGTAACTGACTGGAGCTGACTGGTTCATTTGCATTCATTGTGTGAACGTAGGTTTTATGCTTACACAAATCAGTGATCAAAGATGGTTAGTTATGCAATTTATAATATTTTCTTGAATGAAATTATTGTCAACAGTTTCTTTTTTTCGGAAGTTCGAATTAGATGTTCTAACATAGCTTTCATAAGCTTTACATAAAGCGTAAGGTTTAAGAACCTGTTAATATTAAATCTACGAGTGAAGAAAGTATCTACAATGGCTGCTGTGGTTCAGAACCAATGTTATTAAACAAAAACAGAATAATTAGGAAATATTTTTAAAAGCTTATGACTACATGATAATGGCGTTCAACAATAATATTTATGAATTTTGCTCGAAAGAAACAAAATAATATAATTATTTATTAACATTTCCCAACTTAATCTCCTTTGGGTTTTTCATAAGCTGCGACTATAATCGGGCTTCAAAATCGATTCATCGATTTGCTATTTCTGTCCTCGGTATCTTTTGGCGTTGCACTCTTGTCAAAATATTTAAGTGTAAAAGCAACAACAAAGCTAGTGAGTTGAATTCGATACAAGTGAGTTGATGAAAGTGTTACTAACCGCCGTCTTCAAGTTGTGTTGCACAGATTCTAAAGTGAATGATTCAAATAACAAATTACTATTAAAAATGAAAATACAAAGATTTTATCTTTGATTTTAAAAACTTAAAAGCTAAAGCTGAAGCCTTTGGAAACCGTACTTCACGCACGTGAATCCAACTATAGTTGGATGAAACTCATTGGAAAGTGAAGAGAATATTAAAAATTAATGCAATAACAATTTACGGGCGACCTGCGGTTAGGAAGAGAAAGGGAAGGGGGTTAGTTGAATTTTTAAGGGTTAAAAGCGGTTTACTTCGATCTCCGGTTTACTACGAGTCCTATGAAAAAAAAATTACATAGCTAAGTCGTAGGTAATAAAATGATTTACAACTTTTGACATAACCTCAAAATTTATGTGAAAAATTCAAGTATCCAATATTTTGGCTTTTTTATTTTATCTCTTACAAAAATTTTTTGTTTCATAAAATTTGGGGTAAATGAACTTTTTTATGTCCCAAACACACTGTAATTTTTATACTCTTGCAACATGTTGCTACAGATTATTATAGTTTTGTTCACCTAACGGTTGTGTGTATCACCTAAAACAAATTGAGATAGATATAGTATATATAAATGATCAGGATGAGGAGACAAGTTGAAATTCGGAGGTCTGTCTGTCCGCCTGTCTGTGCAAGCTGTAATTTTCATAAAAATTGAGACGGTTGCAAAAAAGGGAGAACGAGGTCGTGGATGGGCGTTAATCGGACCTCTGTTACGTTACAAAACGTCATTAATCAAAACCAAATAAATTGCCAGAACTAAGCACTAAATAAGATATAAAACTGTTATATGGCATAGGCGATTGCTCCGGCATGTGGCACTAGTGTTCTAAAAATGTTGAAAATATGTCATATATTCATCATTGTACGTATCTCCTAAGTCACTTAAGCTGCAAAAACTAAATTTGCTTAGGAAGAATCCTTTAAAAAACCTCTACCGACAGTGTGAAATCGATTTATAAACGCGCTTTCTCCCTATATAACGGTGTTGTTAAAAACTACTCAAACTGCCATAAATGCGCCAGAGACATTAAATCTTACACCCAGAATAATACAAAAGAGCTTTATAGAAGCCACTGAATATATTCGGATAAAACTTTGCAAATATAGAGTCTTTGAGTTATGCGATCTTGAGTCTAGAAACTGTCAAAATCGGACCATGACTGGACCCCAGTGCGTATGGCTGACATTTTGCCGACTATATCGGTTAATCTTAAATGTTATTAAAATTCGGGGAAAATTTTTCTTTGATAATAATATACCCTTGTGTCTAAAATCGGTTGAATCGGATCAATACTTCCCTTAGCCCCCATATACTTAATATGATGATTTTCGAACTTCCAGTTGATACTTCATATCATTTATGTTATATCGGCCAATATGCTACTTAGTTAATTGAAATTGAATTATTTCTAATAAAAGTGTATCCTTTTGCCTAAAATGGACACCCTATAACTGATATTCAGGAATTTGAAACGGACGGCTGACTTTACTTCATATATATAATATGTTTATGTTTATATATTTATAAAATTGCTTGAAAATAAGTTCTCAAGTATACCTGAGCAATGTCAAAAAAAAATGCAATCAGCGCTTTCATTTCTCTGCCCCCCAAAATAGGTTGGTCAAAATGTGTGATATTTTAATGAAATTAAGTGGATTTTAGTATAATTTTCGCAGACGGGAAGTAAAATATAGTAATTTACTGCTCTACAAAAATGGTATCTGTTTTTTTCTTTTTCGATGAATATCTCGAGAAACTGTCTTAATCTGCATTTCTACTATAATTCGGGTCTCTATATTTTGTAGGACTTTGTTACAGATGTGTTCGGCGTCTGTTAATGCTTTGAAGAGCTTGCGAACAACGTTTTTTAAAACAGTTGCTTGAGCTCGTGCTTGTGTTGCTGTTGTATCGGCAGAATCGTGCTTGTGTCTTGCTAAGCGGTATTAATATATTTCTATTAAAATCTAGATGTCTTTGAGTAATTTTGCAGGAAAAGGAAGAGGGCGCCGAGCTTGAACACATTAATTTTCTGTCTTAGTTTAATCATTAGTTATAAGCCGTCAATATTTTAAGTACTTCGTCATTACACCCTGAGCAGCGTATGTTGAGTTTGCCACGAAGTTTATAACACCCAGGAGGAAATGTCGGAGACCGCATTAAAGATATATATAATATAAATGATCAGCGTGACAAGCTGAGTCGATTTAGAGAGGTTTTAGACCGTCTGTGTAAATATGAGCAAGCTATACATAGCAAACAACTGCCCGATCAAACTGAAGTCCTTGTATGGAAAACTCTTTTATTTGTTAATGTATCTTCATGAAAATAGACATACATTATTACCCAAGCCATTGCTACAATCTCCCAAAATATTGTTTAGATCGGACAACTATATATATATATATATATATATAGCTGCCATACAAACTGACCCCTTAAAATCAAGTTCTTGTATGGAATTTTCTAAGGAATCGTTATAATTTTCGAATATATTGTTCAGATCGGACCACTATAGCATATAGCTGTCATTGAAACTGGCCGAAGTTAACGTTTTTTTTTCGTTTTTTCTCTAAATTTTCTGCCTCTATATTTTTTGAAAGCGATTCTATCTTCCTCCTTCGTTTTGCAGCACCGAACTCAAGCTGCCCCGACTTTTAATTGATTAGTCAGTACTTAGTTTGTGCTCATACCACTGAAAATTGATTTGAAAAGTTAAAACGCCTTGGGCTCTCAAACTACACATTTAAGACATTTCTTCTATTGCGGAAAGATATATTTTCTATTCACTTTGGCAATAAATTCAAATTGAAATTCTTTGCTTTTGTGCCAGCATCCTGAAGCTAATTTCTGCTATTCACGCACACATACGCGCTTATACAAACATATACTCGTATATGAAAGCGCATAGAACTCATGCTTTCTCGGTTTTTTACTTAAGTTTATTACAATTTTCTGATGACATACTTTTAGGCGACTATTTAAGTTTAGAGAGAGAAACAAGCTTGCGATTGCATTTGATTTACAACTTTATCAATCTGCCATTAAAATGCGTTTAATCTCGGAATGTACTTTTTGCCAGATTAAAAATATAATAATGGAAAAAAGCAATAAAAACAACAATTACTGCAAAGAAAACTGAAAATAAATCGCATTTTCACTCAACGCATTTGTCTCATGAACTTCTCTAGAAATGGCTCCGCTCCGATTGCGCTCCAGCGCTTGCTGCGCGCCCCTCTCATTTCACTCTTCATAAACTGAAATGACAAAGTCAAGTAATGAAATACTTTTGAATAAGTTAAATGTTGAAAGTTTGCTTGTTCGTAAAGTATCTAGTGAATAAGCGAATATAGCTCAAAAATCTACAAAAAAAATTTACTTTCGAAAATCTTGAAATTCTCTGATAAATTGAGTCAGTCAGTTACAGTTAAAGTTGCAGTTGCAGTAGGTGTTGTTGTTTCTCTCAGTTATGTTGTTGTTACTATTGTTTTTAAGATTACTTTGTTGTTATTGTTCCTATTTGCAATTATTGTTGTTTATTGGAGTTGATGTTGTTGTTGCTATTTATATAACTGGCTAAGTATGTTGTTGTTGTTATTGCTGCTTCAGTTGACTTTTTGTTGCCGTTGTTGTCATGTGCAATTGTTGTTGTTATTTGCAGTTGATGTTGTTGTTGCGGCTAGCAGTTGTTATTATTATTATCTTTAGTTGTTGTTTCTCTAACTTTCATTTGTTGTTGTTGTCGTTGCGTCTTGCAGCTCCATTTATTGTTTTTGCTGTGCAAAAACTACACACGAATTGACTGACAATATCCCGAACAGCTCCCAAGGCTTCCCAATTCACTTGAGATCAGTTGACATTTGCGCGCAGCCATAACTACTGTTAGACTCTTAAAAATTTTCCGTATTGCACGTCATCTTCCCTTTTTTTCATTTCAGCAGCGCCACGTGACGTAAGAACACCGTTGTTAGTGTGTATGTGTACGCCTGTGAGTGTATATATGTGTGCGTGAATAGTTGTGTGTGTGTGTGTCACATACATTAATACATTCACATATTGAAAGCTATGCGAATATTTTTTCTGAATGAAAGTTTTTCAATGTCTGTGCAAAATTAAATTGATGCCGCATGCAACACAAGAGCTTTGCAGAAGAAACGGATATAAAAAAGACACCGGATATACGGTGAAACGGAAATGTGGGCTCAAGATGAAT